ATATATATATATATATATATATATATATATATACGTGAAAAAGAAAAAATAGTCAAAAAAAGATAATAATAATAAAAACAAATTATATGAAAATTTGTATCTTTTACAAGAATTGATAAAAATTCCTTTTTTTTCAAAGTAAACATGTTAGCCAACATACATAACCCATCAAGATAATGTAGACAAAATTGGCAATATTAGCCTAAGAGCCATAGACAAAATTGGCAATATTAGCCTAAGAGCCAAGTCCTCATTTAATGAATGAACTAAGACCTGTAACATACATCCCAACTAAAAGTTTTTTAACCGCAGCCTCCTCCCTGAAAGTTTTGCTTTTTTTTTGCTTAATAAATGAAATTTAGGAATAAAAATTTAAAATTTAATAATATCTTGTGATAAGTTTAAAATATAATATGTGGCCTTTTTTTTTAAAAAGAAAAAATTAAATTGTGAAATTGTAACAAACTTATGAATTTTTGGTGAATCACGATATACAATATAAAATAAAGTGAAAATAAGTAAGGTAAGTATTCCATGAATGTAATATGTTGCTGGCCAACCAAACGATGATACACATAAGGCTCCCGATATAGGCATTGTAAACAGTGGTCCAATCTATTAAAAAAAGAAAAAAAGAAGGATAATCTAATTTCTAAATCTATGAAGAAAAAATAAAACAAAAAATTTAATCTGCAAAAAGATAAACAATAATTTGATCTATGATTTACGAAAAAAAATTGGAAAATAACAAATATTTATCACAAACCTGTAAATGACACATTATTAATGACATATACATTCCACTATCGGCTAATAATGACCACTGTGACGTAATCGTGCCAACGGTTGGATAAGCTGATGCATAAGCAAATCCCTTAAAAGATGAGATTAAACTGAATTAATTTGCATGTTAGGAATGATATATATGCATGTATGTGTGTGTATGTGTGTGTGTGTGTGTGTGTGTGTGTGTGTGTGTGTGTGTGTGTGACATTTGTTACTTTTTCTTAAATACTAATAAATTTTCCCTTTTTTTCTTGTTCGAATTTATATTATAATTGATTAGGTTAATGTGAAATGTGCCATATATTTGTTCATATTCTCGTATTATTTCCACTGAATACATGATGGCAATAATATACCGTACTTGTATGATTTATCGATGATCGTATAACTTATCGAGATTATCATCTATCAAGGACATGGACTTATCAGTAAACTAATATAACCTATCAAATAACCCTATAACTTATCGAGATTGCCATCTATTAATGGTATGTCATATCAATAGACTAATATGACTTATTAAAAATCCTATAATTTATTGTTGGATCAAAATAATTTATTAAGAATATTCTTGAAAAAAAGTTCCTTTCTTTGTTTATTTCATACCGATTATAATTCATTATGATTGAAAAATTATCAAATTTGTGAAATTTATCACCACTTTGATTATTAGTAATTGGATAAACCACATCAATTATCTATAAGTTAATCATACGATTTATTAATGGCCAATTGAATTAAAGGTGGTTATATGATCTGTGTGAAATATATATTGATTTATTCCTGTATTCCTCTCTGACGATTTCTTGAAAATTTATCAATGAGTAATTTTAAAATTTAATAGAAAAGTTAAACAATTTGTTTCTTTTTTTCATACTTCCAAAAATCGCATAGCGAAAAGAAATTCAAATCCAAAATTAGCAAGCCAAGGGATTAAAAAAGTAGAAATTGCTGATATCATTCCAAATAATGTAAACAATTTCCTGAAAATATTTTTCAGCTCAAAAAGTTCCCACTCTCTTCACTTATTTCATATCATTATGATATCATAAATTGTCATATTCTGTGAATTTCATCATTATCAGTAGTGGATAAACAGTGTTAAAAAATATATCGGAATTTAATTGAGAAAAATTAAGCTGGAATAAAATTCGAAAAACTTACCTAATTGTTAATTTTTCTTCAAGTAAAATTACTGGATAAGTACCTATAAGATTACCGATAGCTGTTGCCGAAAATAGTAAGCCTTTTTCAGTTTTCGTGAAATAATACTTTTTTTCCGATAAGACTAAAATTGAATTGATAACATTCCCACAAATGAATTATTAATTGTTAATTGGTGCTAATTAACTATTAATTATCTTACAATTGTATGATACCATTCACAAATCTTTCTTAAAATTAATCATTATTCATTCGTAAAATATTATCACTCATATTGGAATTTATCACTACTCATTCATGAAATATTGTAACTCATATCAGAACAATTTACTACATTGTCCTTAACAATTTATTACTTTCCTGATTTCAAATATACTTTTTGGATATTCAAATATTCTATTTGTACTCAAATATACTATTTTAATACTGTATTGGTTCTAATTTTAATTCATTAATTAATTTTTAAAACAAAAAATTTTTTAATTCAAATTAAAAAAATTAAAAACGAAAAAAAGAACAAAACATTAAAAAAGAAAAAAAAGGAGGCGGAAAAAAAAACTTACATGATTGTTCCGCCGTTAAATTGGATGTTTGCGCCGTTTCATCAGACATACAGATAATTGTAAAATTTAAAATCAATGTATTACTGACAATAATAGAAAGTGCTAATATTGAAATGATTAAAATCAAATATCGTGTATGATTTGCATAATACATTGGTTTAAAATGAGAAAAATGTATCTAAAAATAATGAAAAAAATTTTTTTGATTTTAAAATAAATGAAAAATCATTGAAATACGCAAAAATTATGATATTTTGTTTTGATTTCGCCTTTTTTTTTGATGTAAATAATTCAATGATGTTTGATGTCAATAAATGGAAGAGAAGAAGAAGTAATTGATAGTGTTAATGAATGATAACCTATTTAATCAATATACAAAAGATATGCAACTTAATCCTTAAATGATAGTGCTATTAATATCATTTAATATAGTGAGCTTTATCAAATTTGATAATATACCACTGATAGGATCTCCCATACCAGATAGATCTCAACTGAAAGGTCAAACAAATTGTTTGTACGGGTAAAATAGGGTCTTTAACCTACCGATAAACACCCTAAAGAGAAGGATAACTCTATTTTTAAACCTGGGCAAATGGAACTTGTTGTAAGGTCATCCATCTAAGAGAATGGTATTCTAACAAAACCTAATCTCTTGAGGACATCACTGTCACCATCCTAGCTTCCTAGATTCTGCCAGATGAATCTTAGGTAAAGCATGTTATATATCACCTAAAAAAAGAAAAAAAATCCATTGCAAAGATTGGAAGGATACACCAAACTAGCATCACTATCTTGTCACGTTTCCGGATAGAGCTCTTCGAAATGCTTAAAACCATAATAATGTTGATTCATCATTGTGATAAATCGTCAACATTTAAATATAAACAGTTAAAGTAAATGTAAATTTTAGGAAACTAAATTTAAAAAAAAGAACGAACAGTATTAAACTTCGACAAAAGTTGCATAGGTGAACTTTACCGAATCGATCTTTTAATGATTAATTTCATTTTCTGTCTTTTTTCTCGTCACAGTAATTGATTTTTAAAATTTTCCAACCCACCATGCACTGCACAAAATATTTCGAACTCAATAGTACTTTTTATGGTAAAAGATAACATCGTCTAAAAATATTCTTACAAAAACAAAAAAAAGTAAAAATAAATAAATTAACGAAATTTGACAACACTTAAAGAAAATATCGTAGCTCATTTGAAATGTTTCCCTTTTTTCTTTTTTTTTTGAAGAAATTGTTTTTTTAAAAAAGAAGAAGAAAAAAGAAAGAAGAAAACGGAAAATTGAAACTTTTTTTTGATGAAAAAAGATTGAAAGGAATAAAATTTCAATTAGGTAAACATTAAGGTTTATTTCAGATTTGAAAAAAATAAAGAAAAAAACAGGGAAAAATGTTTTCTTTTTTCGAAATAAAAGCAAATTTTTTAAAATTTTTATTAAATAAAAGGTAATAAAGAGAGAACAAAAATTAAAAAAGAAAAAAGATCGAAAAAAAAAAACAAGAAATAAATCAACGATATTTCACAGCACTTAAAGAAAATAGTTTATTCGAATTGCTCCCACAGCTTATGTAAATAAACGTCATTACAATTTAGCCATTTTTTCGAAGTATTTTATGCCAAAGTTTTTTTTTTTAATTTTAATTTAAAATAATACATTCGAATACGAAAAAATATATATGCATAATATTAATGTAATTAACTAAAAAAGGCAAACAAAAAAAAGGCAGTATTTGATTACATTTTAGAAGTAAAAATTATAATCGAATTTGATTACATTTTAGAAGTAAAAATTATGATCGAATTTCTGCATACATCAAATATTTCACAAGAAATTTTCAAATGATTGATTAAAATAAAATGATTTATGATATTCATAAGGTTTTATATTTCTTCATTTCTTTTCACTTCAAATATATACTCAATTTTTTTTCAATTTATTTTATAATTTGTTTTATTTATTTATTTTTACTTTTAAATCTATTTATTTTGCTATTTTTTTACACTACGACTTCTTTCTCGTTTTTTTTCTTACATTTTAGAATACTTTCAAAATTTTTCAGCAAAATTATTTATTTTTAAAATTTTAATCGTACCAAAATAAAATATATCCATTAGTAAGTGATGATGCCTAGCAATTAAAAGGAAGAAAATAAAAATAATTTTCAGCGACATTTCGATGCTTCGTTTGATTTATCATATATTTACTAAAAAAGAGGAAAAATTCTTGAAATTTCTATTTTCTAAAATTAAATAAATATGACTCATATATTTCTAATCATGCAAAATATTTCAAATGTAAAATTTAAAAAATTGAAGCATTTGAAATGATGCAATAACACTATGACTACCTAAAATTATTACAGTATAACTAATTTAAACATTTATTTTTTTCCTCATTATGGTTAATTGGTTTCCTACAGGTAAATAACATATGTACTGTTGAAAATTGTTAAAACACCAACAATCAAAAGTATTCATTAATTTATTCCGAAAATCTTCTCGCCCCGTTCCTCTTACCTCCAATCAATATTTCATCAATCAATCAATCCACCAATCAATCAATCAATCAATCTATCTATCTATCTATCAGTCAACCATCCAATCAATCAATCAATCAATCAATTTATCTATCTATCTATTTCCAATCCCTTTTCTATAATTGAAATAAGATTACCAGCAATTTCTATCATGTTACTTTATTTATTTCTTCCTTAAAATATAACAACTTAAATTAAATTTAAACTGTAATAATGTTTATTTACTATCAATGTTTTTTTCTCACTTTTCTCTCTATCCTTCCGTCTTCCTCTCTTTCTTTTTCTTATTTTTTTTTCAAAACTTATTTTTTAATTTGATTAAAAATATAAAATTTTCCATTTGATAATGCTTTTCAAGGAATTTTTTAAGTGAATAAAAAAGAAGTGATACGAGAAATGATAAATGATAAGAGAAGAATGCAACTTTTTATAGGACAATAACTAAAAAGAAGAAGAAATAAATTTAATTCTAACAAAGTAATAGCAAATTGAATGGAAAAAATACGGACTTAAAATAGTATTTTAATACAGTAGTAATTTTAAAAAAAACCAAAAATTTGGAAATTATTTTGGAATACAAAAACAAAAAAACGGAAATTAAAATAAGCGTTTTTAAAATTTCATTTAAAATGAAATTTAAATTTAAAATAAAATAAAGATGAACGAATTTTAAAATACATGTTTAAAGGAAATAAAAAAATAAAGAAGAGAAAAGAGAAGAGAGGAGAAGAGAAGAGATTTGTAAGATTGTTTGAATATTTCCTCAAATATTTACAACCTTAACATCAAATACTTTATTTATTCCCTTTTATTTATTCTTCTTCTTTTATTTTTTATTTTTGTTTTTTTTAATATGATTTTGTTGTAGTTTTATTTATAAAATGCATCATTATTTGTAATAGTTTCAGTACTACTGAGCTACTGATAAGTATATGTGAAGTGTCAATACGTCAAACACGTAATAATACGTGTCGCATTTTTGTCAAAAACAAAAAACAAAACGACATACGTGTGGAAGAGTATGTGAAATAAACTTAAAATCAATTTATTATATTTCAATCTATTAATCAATAAAATTATTTCGATCATATGCTCCAATCGATCATCGCATTTCAATCGATCAAACAATAAAATGAATCCATCCAATCATAATTTTTGTTTGGTTAATTTGTATGATTTCAGGAACATAAACATTCATCTATCTAATGCTTACTAATCTATTTTTTTTAAAATTACTACTTAATAAGATACCGAAGAAGTCAACCTAAAATGCAAATAGTAAATTTTAAGAACAAATTAAACTAAATTTGAACTAAACTGATAAATCAAAGAACCATGAATACTACTACTACTTCTAGTGTTAGCAACAGATTACATTAAACAGTTCACTTGATCATTGTCAATTCACATGCACAATTTAATTCATTGTATTTATAGATGAAAGTAAAGAAAGCAATACTTTCAAAGGAATGGTCAAACGGTCACTATTGAATTGGACAAATTCATCCTTATTACATCGATTTAATCTTACCTTATTGATTTATTACAAATGTCGAATAGATTATAATATGGTGTTATTATCTTCTTCAAGAACTTCATTTGTTGATTTATGGGAAAAGAAGCAAAGAAAGAAATGATTTTTAAATTATCAAATTAATTTTGAAATTTTCTAAACAAAAAGAAAAACGAAAACACAAAAACAACCAAAAGTCCAACTTATTTGTCGCAAAATTACTAAAGCATTCAGTATAAATCATACCATACTTTTCAAATTTTTCTGGTCAATTAAAATTTTTAAAATTCTTGACAATAAAAGAACCAAAGAAAAAAGGTTGAAAAAAGAAAGAAGGAAAAATTAGAAACAATTTCATATACATCTATAAACAAGAACATTCTCTTTGTCACAGGGAAGAATTTCACATATCTTAATGAATTTGCGAAAGCTATGCTGGCAGTGGTTTATACCACTGGTAGGATCTCTCATGTCATATAAGCCTGAACTGAAGGATTAGACAAAATATGCTCACGGGCAGAATGGGCTCATTAACCTCACGACAACCATCCTAAGGAGAAGGATAACCCTAACTGTAAACCAGAGTAGATGGAACTCGTTTAATCCTGTGAGGCTAGCCATCTAAGAGAAGGATACTCTAACAAAACCTATGCATCTTGTGCACTTCATTGTAATCATCCTAGCTCGCTAGGCCTTGGCTGATGAACATTAGAAGTAAGAGATGGCCAGTTCAGTTTACGTTATGCCTCACCCTAAAAAATCCACTGCGCAAAGTGAAAAGATACAACCGTATTTGTAGCTTTTAGCAATAAGCGCAACCAGACCCTTTCTCAAAGTTTGATTCGTGAAGCCTAACCATAATTATGATGTTGATGATTGAGGATGAAGACAATGATAATAATGATGATGATAATTAATAATAATATTAATAATAATTAATAATAATAATAATTAATAATAATAATAATAATAATAATAATAATAATAATAATAATAATAATAATAATAATAATAATAATAATAATAATAATAATAATAATAATAATAATAATAATAATAATAATAATAATAATAATAATAATAATAATAATAATAATAATAATAATAATAATAATAATAATAATAATAATAATAATAATAATAATAATAATAAT